TCTCTCTCTCTCTCTATCTATCTCCGTCTCTCTCTCTCTCTCTATCTATCTCCGTCTCTCTCTCTCTCTCTATCTATCTCCGTCTCTCTCTCTCTCTCTCTCTCTCTCTCTCTCTCTCTATCTATCTCCATCTCTCCCTCTCTCTCTCTCTCTCCCTCTCTCTATCTATCTATCTATCTCCCCCTCTCCCCCTCTCTCTCTCTCTCTCTCCCTCTCTCTATCTATCTATCTATCTCCATCTCTCTCTCTCTCTCTCTCTCTCTCTTTCTCTTTCTCAAAATTGAAAAGTTAAGTTGCGTGGCGTCAGATACATTTTCAACGTTCTTACCTTTCGCGAATCCTAATCAAATTAGAATTACGTAATAGATCAGTGCACAAATTAATTTTCAAATCTGAGGAAATAATACCGGCACCCACGTATAGGTGACGTGGCAGTCAAAGTGTTAAGTACATACGTCGAAATCATTTCGGCTGTTCGTCCATGATATTTTACGGACAATTCGCAATAAACGGTGCATTTAATCGATGTTTTACAAACAATTCGCGATAAACGGTGCATTTAATCGATGTTTTACAGACAATTCGCGATAAACGGTGCATTTAATCGATGTTTTACAAACAATTCGCGATAATCTGTGCATGATTCGATGATTCGATGGAATCGAGCGTAGCCTGATTAGATCATGATCGTTAAGCCAGCGCGGTTATTTATGCATTGAAGTTAATACATGTATTAGGTGACTCATCAAACGTGCACGCGGATAGAATCATAAACGATCTGCTGGTTTTCGTGGATCTGCGCTATATGCAAATTATCGAAATGCAAGAATATATGAAAACCTCGTTAGTAGATCATAGTAGGCGCTTAGTATACAAAATTTGAAGTATTTGTTACTCGGGATGAAGTTATCTTCTCTTTCCTTCGATGACCATATTAACAATATGATATTTATAGCGAATAGAACAACGATATACCTAATTCGGATTTATGGGAATTTTAAAAATATGTTTTAAATATTATATATTTATGTTTTATATTATTAATGTTATTATATATTATTATTAATATTATTATATGTTATTATTAATATTATTATATATTATTATTAATATTATTATATATTATTATTAATATTATTATATGTTATTATTAATATTATTATATATTATTTATATTAATATTATATTATTAATATTACTACTATAATGTTATCATTATTTATATTATTATTTACACTCTTATTATTGTGTCGAATTTTTCTAGATAAATTAAAAGAGCGTTTGGCCCGTTGATGGTGAATAAATAAATGAAATTGTAATACCACACTTACTATGCCCGTCAGAATAACCTGCCTCGCATTTTGAAATTAAAATTGCTACCACGAAGACTCTTATAAGATGCGTAGTACGCATGAAACAACACGTTCTTGGTATTAAAACGCTCGGCGGAAATTGTTACGAAGACAAGAATCTCGAAGTATGAGTTAAGCGACGCATTTAGATATTTCCGGGACGCGAAGGGGCCACTGAATGGCACAGTTAGCGTGGCGAACCGTGCTAACTATGGCGAATAGTAGGGAGAACAGTGAGCGACGTGCGTCTGTCGAGATCGATTCAGTGTGCGAACAGAACTTCTGTTTGTTGTCCGCAGGAAAGAGGCATCGCTGCACACAGCGGCTGGCACGACTTGGAAAGTGGTGACACGAAATGAACCGGAAACGATGGACCGTGAGGGCGCTGCGAATGGATTTACGGTGCGGTGCCAGCGGAACCGGCTGCTGCACGCCGGCCAAGATCATCTGTATCTTCTTGCTCGCGATACTGATGCACGGTATGTCTATTCACTGGATGCAATATTCTCCTGATATCCGCAGTTTATGACGCGACACATTATTTATATGTCGATATTTCGATTACTTTTTGTTTGGTTTCCAATACAGTAGAGACTTCCCTTATCCGAGCATTTCTGTGATTCCAAGGAAAAATGCCACAGGCCACGATTTCAATAAATTTAAGTTAATGCTTTAGTTAAACTGTAGCATGATTACGTATTTATCAGCACAAATATCGTGAAAAGAAATCGTATAGACTCAACAAAATTATGCAATTTGATGCACTACTGATACGAAGCATAAGTTTTTATTGGCTTCATCTCCGCTGACATAATCAAATTATATGTCACATAGATTCTTTGTTCTTTTACTCTCAAGTTTTTGATATTTCAGTCTTTTTCTTTTTAGTTTTATGATTTCCTATTTTATCCGATGTNAATTATAGAATATATTAACCCATAGTTATTATAGAATAATAATAGATAGAATAATATAGAATAATAACTATGGGTTAATATATTCTATGATTATGGGTTAATGTCAAGGTTATAACCCATAATTATAGAATATATTAACCCATAGTTATTATAGAATAATAATAGATAGAATAATATAGAATAATAACTATGGGTTAATATATTCTATGATTATGGGTTAATGTCAAGGTTATAACCCATAATTATAGAATATATTAACCCATAGTTATTATAGAATAATAATAGATAGAATAATATAGAATAATAACTATGGGTTAATATATTCTATGATTATGGGTTAATGTCAAGGTTATAACCCATAATTATAGAATATATTAACCCATAGTTATTATAGAATAATAATAGATAGAATAATATAGAATAATAACTATGGGTTAATATATTCTATAATTATGGGTTAATGTCAAGGTTATGTATCATATATTATATTCTATAATAACTATGGGTTAATCCCGTCGATAAATAAAATTATTATTATTGTTATCGTTATCATTATTAATGACCAGAACGTTAAGCGACGATATCTCGGAAGTGAAAACATGCGACTTGCGACGTTCTTCCTTGCAGTCACAGTTTTATTTGTACGATATTCTGCTGACCAAACGTTCTATCATCTAATCATTGTATCGTTTGAATGCAACAATCACCTAGTAAAGAACTCGAATGACATTTTTAGGTAGTAGAATGTTTTGGTATCGGGACACACTTCACAAATAAACGTTCAGACAAGTATTTCTCTTGAAAAGCGTTCCGCAACGCGGAACCGATTTCGAAAAATGTTTCCTGGGAAAAGTAAAAGAGTGATCCGACACTTTTCCCGGCTAAGCATCGATGCGATGGCTCATAGTTGTTGCATAACGCTCTCGGCGGAACAGACGAGTGCACTAGGATCTGTCAGCAAGGTGACGAGAAACCGGGATCGGGATCGGTATCGAGGGAGGGAAAAACACTATTCGCAAAAATCAGCGAATCGTTTAATTTACTGGGGAACGCGAGAAATCAAATCCGTCGGTCGAGTACATATGCGCGCGCGGTTCAATTACTTTTTTGTCATCGATTCCGGGAGGCGCAGAGGCTTGTTTATTGGGGCTGTTGGCGCGCGCGATTTATTCGCGGGGAGGCGAGCCGAGGTGAAAACGGCTCCCGTTAATTAGAATCTCTGTTTCGTGCGGTCAACTATCGGCGCAACTATTGACAAGCTATTCTCATTATAGTAAGTCTCCATTATCGCGTTAATTCTTGCAAAAGTAATTGTCTGGATGTATCGATTTGTTAATTGGAATTCTCGCCGGCTCACGGCGGGCCGCGCCGATTTCTGTCCGTTTGACGGAAATATGGCTAATCGAGTTCCCATCGCGCGTTAATTAATAGATTTCGTTAATGCGCGCGGCGGCTGAGTACTCGGCCGACTTCCACGGAATCCAATTTGTTTCTCGTTTCGCTGCCGCGATCGATGGACGGATCGTCCTCTAATTTCCAAGAAAGCTCCTCTCCCTCTCTTTTCTAATTACGGCTATGCACAAATCTTCAGAACACCGCATAATGGAAGAAAAGGCATTATGTTTATTATTTACGATATTATGCAAGTAACGCGATCAGAGGTCATATTTCGTGTCCAGCGATCTCATCGTGGGCACCGTCGATATTTCTAAGAAATCACGTTCTATTTTATTGCGTAAACTATCGCGTAACACATGGATCTAAAAATTGCATAATAGAATGATTCGTTGTGCCAACTTCGCAAAAACAGATATAAAAATAGAATTAGTCCGAATATTTTTGCAACGTTAAATTTTGTCACAATCTTGTTTATCGTTTATTATACAAAAGAACATGCGCAATAAATAAACAGAATTTATGTTTCAACTTACTATAGGAAGTGCTTTAATATATGAGAAAACAATTGATTCAATAATACTGTCATAAACAGTAAAAAGGAGCAATAATTTTTCTAATAATATCGTGTTCGAATACTAATGCGAGTCACTGTAGTTGCACAATTCTCAAGAAGCCTAAAACTATCGTTGCAGCATATTGTACAATACAATAATCACTTTACCAACCTTTTTAAGCGATAATATTTTCATTCGCGTGATTTTTATTTCGTTTTTTTTTCTTATGTATTACCTTCTATTCAGTACATTGTATAATACAATAATCATTTTGCTATTCTTTCTAAGCGATAATATTTTAATTCGCGTGATTTTTATTTTGTTTCTTCTTACGTATTACCTTCTTTTGCACAATAATCATTTTACTAATCTTTCTAAGCAATAATATTTTCATTCGCATAATTTTTATTTTGTTTCTTCTTCCGTATTACCTTCATTTCATACCGAAGGGTTTCTTCCGCGAATAGATGAATAAATAACTATGAACGTCCAAAAGCATGAATTGTCGTATCAATTGTCATTTGTCGTTATTTTAGCTTGATGATCGCACAAACGATACGTTTTAAAAATACAATTCTATCGGTTCAGTGTTGCTTTCGTACGTCTGGACACGCTCTTCGACGGTATTATTTTTGCACTCGATAATATCTGGGACGCGTGATCTCGTCGATCCGTGTTACGTCGCCAATCGAGGCGGCAGAAGCTCGTTCGTTATCTGTTGCGACTTGGTGGGTAACAAGCTGCGATTCTTCTCGTTCGAAGCATACACTCGATGGCCTTCCGCGAGCATCGTCAGCCGGCGTATATCACGTTCTTTCCAAGATCTTATCCGATTCGTTCGGTCGCAGCTGTTTTATGCACCGGGTGGCGATCGTTTCACTGTTTTCGCGCAGCACGATTTATCGGACAGGAAAGCTGTCCCCGTTTCCGACGGATGTTTAAGACGATTGTCACCGTTCAATTTGCCGAATGAAATTTTTACGCACCCGCGAATCGACGAGGAACTTTCACGAGCTGCAAACAGAAATCACGGGTCCATTTGAAGTCGTCGAAACGGATTTGTTCGACATCATTTCGTCGTCTCCAGATTTGGGCAATAGTTTTACCCGACTACAGACTTGCCTGATAACATTATTAACCGACAATAATACTGATCGTCAACATTATTCTGACATTTCTTACAATATATTGTTAATACACTCAACAGCAAAATTAATGCATCGATAATTTTTGACCGAGAAATTGTCAATCTTAGAGCAGCTGTAACTCCGTTAAAAGCTATCATAAAATTATAAATTTAAAAGAAAAATTAAAACTAAAATCTCCACTTTACGATGCCGTATTCTAAGTTTTAATATCATGCATCTCCATGACTGTTGCACCCTAAATCTGAAGGCATGTTCGTGATACCGAAAAAGTGCAAAGTTCAAAGTCCCCTATGGACTTGAAAAAATTTTTTAGAACGTGTCGTTCAACAACATCGTAAAGTTTGGACTTTCCCATTTAGTTTGAGAGCCGAATTTAGTCGCTACGATTCTGATATGTACTTCTATAATTCTATAATTTTTGAAACTGTAATGAACTCAACACATTTAGACAAAACTCACTTGAAGCATGTAATTCATAGATCATAGTTCTTCGATTAATTTCGGTATCCGTTTTGTTAGTTTTTCCTGTTATTTCAAATCGTATTTGTTTCCATGCATCTTGCAGTATGTTCCGCATATTAAAAACCATATCAGGAAACGATGTTAGAAAGATATACACGAAAAGTATGAAACGATTTCACCATATGTTTTCAATGAACGAAATGCATTAAACGGATAAACTAATTGCATAAATGACAAGGTTAACACTAAACCCAGCATCGCCGGTCGATTAACCGGTTTTATATTTTTGATTTTGTAATTATTGAAGTCATAAAGCGGCTTCCGTTAGAAATATATTGTTGAATATATTTCTCTATTCAGGCACGCACTATTATAAAAATTGTCGAAAATTTAAATAAATTCTATCTTGTAATTATTACAAGCCAACACACGCTTTTAGACTGTGGTAGTTTTATTACGGTAGGTTAAATATGTACTTTCGACAACATACAGGATGTCCCAAAATTATTGTACTTCCGGGAACGGAGCGGTTCATGAGGTCATTTGAAGCAACTTTTTCCTTAGCGAAAATACAATTCGCGGCCTCGTTTACGAGTTATTAACGAAAAAGAGTGACCAATGAGAGGCGAGATCAGCTGGCGCGTGGCGGGCGAGCCACTGAACGGAACTGGGCTTCGTGCGCTCGTTGGCTCGGCCGCCTCGCGCTAGCCGAGCTCGCTTCTCATTGGTCAGTGTTTTTCGTTAATAACTCGTTAACGATGCCTCGGAGAACATTTTTGTAAAGGAAAAAGTTACTTCAAATGATCTCAGGAACCCCACATTTCCAGGAAATACCATAATTTTGGGACATCTTGTAGTTTCATGAAACTTGTAGACATTACCTAAACTGTATGAGAAATTACAATTTATACTAAATAACCAGGTGTCCTAATGCTTTCGTAGGGTGGTGTATTTCACTCCGATGATATCGATTAGACTCAGAAATTACGCTTCGGTCGCC